TGTGTGTGTGTGTGTGTGTGTGTGTGTGTGTGTGTGTAGTTTTGAGGTTGACAGAACATGATGAATGTGTATCTTTCCTCATAAAACATTTAAAAGCAGAGATGTTTACAAGTCACACCCAGTTTTGCTTCTCAAGATGTAGCCTCAGTTGGTCATTTGAAACAATGAACTTATATAAGCTTCAGTTGTTTTATTGTTGTGCAGAATTAAACAAGACTGCAGACATGATTACAAAGAGTTATTTACTAGACTTTTAAGATCAATCATCAGTAATAAAATTATGAACCCCAGCGAAGGCTTTCCTTATAGCCTGATCATTTTTATTTACTTCTGTGTTAGACGTTATGCCATCAGTAATGCTTTCAAAGTTTCAGATCAATGTCTCACTTGGATTGCTTTTGTATCTCCTTACCAGGAAGCTCCATTGTACCCGAAACTATATCCACATGAATCTGTTTATGTCATTTATCCTGAGAGCTGCAGCTGTCATTTCAAAAGAAATCATACTGCATGTTATGTATTCCAACCTGCCCAAGGATGACCCTGGTTGGAACTCCTATTCGAGCTCTGCGGTACGCTCACTCCTGTCTTGTTTTCCCTGTATAAGCAAATTTTATTATAATTTTTCTCCTCATTGTAATTGTGTAYACTGTTGACAGTTTCTGCATAAACCTTCTTCCTCAACAGATAGTGCTCATGTGCAGGTTCTCCAAAGTCTGCATGGAGTACTTTGTGGCCTGCAACTACTTCTGGCTCCTGGTGGAGGCCATTTTCCTTCATACGYTGCTCTTCACTGCAGTGCTTACCAAAAGGCGCTTGCTGAAGAAATACATGCTGCTAGGATGGGGTAGGTCATAGATAAAACTATTTGACTATGCAGGTCTTGTTCTTTATAAGTAGATGGGGTAAGAACTTAGACATGGCTTAATTTATGAAGCCCTAAATGAAGCCAATATTTACATGTTGTAGCATCTTGAAGCCACTGAGGGGCAGTTTTGTGAAACTGTAGTGGCACAATCCCAGATGAAGCTGAACATAAAAACATCTGAGATTGTAAATTATGTAAAGTACTGCTAATATTTGAGTTTATTTGYTCATTTTAAGCATAATTTTCTTCTAAGTTAGGGTCCTCTTAAATAGGAAAACAAAATAAAGGAAAATCAAATAGACTTGGGATGTTCTTTGCCGGGTCTTTGTGAGGTTTTCAGGCATATATTTAAAAAAGAACTGGGTTTCCCATTATACCTAAAAGAGTGTGATTGGTGAACAATAAGCATCTCCTAAACCTCTTTAGAGAGGTAAGAGTGCATGTCAGTGTCCTAGGTGGGGCATGGTGGCAGTCCATCTGTGATGTGATTTGGTGGTCCATAATTTGAAGCCGGACTTTACGCTGGTCTCATAGGACATGATCATGGAAACAACCTAGTGTAGACATGATACCCATGGTGGTATTGTGGCATGCTAATGTGGTCCAAAAGAGTTGTACCAAGAGCTTGGTGACGGCTCAGGAGAGAATTTTGGAGTTGTGAAAAATAGTAGGGGAAAACCTATTAAGTGAAAACTGAGAGTGTAGCAGTGTCATGAATGGCTTCACAGTAAAAAAAAAAGATTTTAAAGTTTGTCACAGTCCAAAGCCCTTCTAATAGGTCACGTAAGTTAAGGGTAGCATAATGGGATAATTATCCTGAGTGAAGCTGTTTTACTGGTTGTCATCCGTTTCTCTTGACTAAGGCTGACTTTCAATCAATTAGCCATTTACCTTTGAAAGAGTTGATTTCTGATAGCTACATGCAGATAGCACATAGGGCTGTGTGCGAGTCTATCGGCATTGGGCAAAAGACCCATGGACACTGCAGTCCTGTCTGCATCTATTCAGACAAATGCACAAACGCAACCCTGTTCCAGCCTTGAAGAAGTGGACAAAACTGGTACTGAGAGCAAATAGTAAACCAGGTTACTCTTATTTTTCCAGCACAGGTTGTTTGAAAGTAGACTGTGAAAGTAATTTACATTTGTAAACTATCTCTTATTATTATGACCTCTCAGGAACACCTGTCTTGTTCGTGACACCATGGACGGTGGTTAAGATTTTGTATGAAAACAAGGGGTAAGTGTTTTAATACATTCCTCACAGAAATTTACTTTTGTTGAGCTCAATAAAAATGTTCTGCTAAGACTTAAACCATATTTTTGTTCTAAGGTGCTGGTCAATCATGAACAGATGGTTCTGGTGGATAATAAGAGGCCCAATTACTTTATCAGTACTGGTAAGGGAAGTAAATGTTTAACGTACAGTATTCAGTGTATAAAAAGCACTGTATAAACAGTAAATAAACAGTACAAAACTTTGTATTTTCTGTCCTCAATATCAAATTCCTCATTTCATTTTATTATCATGTAATGTGTGATGGACCTTAATATGTAATAAATATCATTTCTGATAGTAATAATTTTAACACGCATGTGCTGCTTCTTGATAATGCCAGTTTTATACCATTTTCAAGAGCATTTTATCTTTAATTAATGATTGATGTGTTTTACAGATCATTTTCTTCATTTTCATCAAGATACTGATGTTGTTGTTATCCAAGCTGAAGGCAGATCAGGTGAAATTCACAGATTACAGATACAGGTACTCAATACTGTCACAGCCTATTCTCAAAATATACATCTGACAGTTTAGAAGTTCCTACTTTGGATGTCACATTAAAATGTCAATCACATATTTTAAATGTCACACWAATTACTAAACTGTAAGCAGAAATGTCACTGGGAAACTCATGTATTCTGTATGCTTCAGGAAGTATTCCGTCCCCTCTCCTTGTTTTTTTATGTTGCATCCTAGAGATAGTCTTTTAAATGTATTTTTTCTCTATTGTCTACACTCAGTACCCCACAATGATAAAGTAAAACTGAACTGAGAGAAAACAGTCTTAGTCAAAGATGTTAATGGGAGCCTGATGGTCACTCTGACTGAGGGGACCAAGTKTTAGAACTTTTTAACCGCAGGTCTCCACTGATTTTTATTGCAGAGTGGTGCGACAGAGGGGTTTCCATTTTGAAGGACTCCAACTCTGAGGAACACAAATTTCTGKTTTGAGAAAACCCAGATTGAGTATTTGGCCTCATTTCTACTGCAAACCTGCAGGAACTCATGCACCACACGTCACCTGCCCATCCCAACAGTGGAGCATGGAGGTGGCAGCAGTAGTTGGAATGTCAGACTGGTCAGGGTTGAGGAAAAAAACTGAATACAGCAAAGTACAGAAATAACTAGAATTCCTGGAAGGACCTGAAAATGGCTCCACCAATTATCTCCATTTCAACCAGATTGAGGTTGAGAAGATTAACAAAGAAGAATAACATGAAATCCCTCAGTTCAGAGCATATTGCAGCAAACAGACTGTATTTTCTGCCGAAGGTGCTTCAACTTTGTAAATAAAGGGTCTGGATGAAAATGTGGGGTTTCAGTGTTTTGTATCAATATATTATTGTTCTCACATTATCATGAACGCTGAGTGCAATTTATGGAGAGAAACAAACTTTTTAAACAGCTGTAGCAACACGGACCGGTAAAACTGAGGTTTTTAATTACACATTTTTTCCCACTTCTCTTGCTTGTCACCGTATGACCCCATTTCTGGCTCAGAAGTAGCATTAACACTATCACCTTTGTGTGTTTTATTTTTGCTCATCAGTTTAGCCAGGGCCACGCTGGTTCTGATTCCCYTGCTGGGGATTCATGAAGTGGTGTTCACCGTGCTGATAGATGAATGTGTGGAGGGCAGTAGTCGCTACGCTCGGAACTTTATCAACCTCACCCTCAGCTCTTTCCAGGTAACTCACAGTATGGTTAACTAAGCACCACATGATCATTTGTATTTATCCTCAAATCACATCACAATTCTAAAATTTGCTGTTTTCATTTTCAGGGATTCTTGGTGGCTGTATTGTATTGTTTTGCCAATGGAGAGGTAATTTATTTTCTCCAATTATTGTAAAAATGAGAAAGGCACAAAAGGAAGGGTTAAATAAAAACATTGAGTTTGAATCAAACAATAACCCCAAGTTTGACAAACCCTAGTTTAACATTTAAAACCTTTTCCTGATCCTCACTTTTTTTCCAGCTGTACTGCACTCTACTAGTTAGGTTTAGATGTATGGTGTGAATTAAGTTTTGGTTAAGGTTAGAGTTAGCAATAGACGACCAGTAATGGTTAGCATTAGGGAAAATGTCTGCGTTAGGCATAAATGTCATTACAAAAATGAATGSAAGTCAATACAAAGTCCTCAGTTTGTTGAAAATACAAGAATGTGTGTGTGTGCTGAATTATATGCACAGCAGTGCTTTCAAATTAATTCACAAACACAGTTTGAACCATCATTTATAAACATTATTTGAATCTCATCACCTGGTTTTTAGAGATCCTGTTTAAAATGCAACTCCCATTTTCAGCAGTGTTTACTAATTTAATCACAAATGTTGCGTTCACAAACACACAACTACATTAATGTTTCTATTAGATTCAGGGCATCTGTTTGCAGAAATAATTTTGCAAACCTTGTGATCTGTGGAGACAAAGTGTGTTTTCTGTACTTGATCCTAAAACTGCAACAGAGGAAATATCAATCTTTTACCAGAGGTCTACTTGAAAAAATAACTAATTAAAATTACAGGAACAGAAAATGACTTTGGTAAAAAAAATAAATTTCACTGATGAGAAAACTACTCAAGTGAAGTAATAAAACTGTTCACAAAAATTGGGAAAGTAAAAGTAAAAGTACTTTGGCACACTCTCAAACTGTTGAATTTACTGAACCAAACTGGTTCCATTAAGCCAGGTTGAGTAAACTGAGCAGTATATATGTATATTCTTTGCTCACTTTACTCATCTAGGCTTGGTGGAGCCAGCTGACGTGACTTTGTTGAGTAAGTTCAACACTTCATTTTTTAGAGTGCAGAAACATCTCTCATGATGAGTTCAAACATATAAAATTTTGTAACGAGTAACTATGTGTTACATTTGAAAATCAAGATGTAAAAGTATAATTTTTAGCTTTAAAATGTAATGAATAAAAGTAAAAGTAGCTGATTAAAAAAATTGGTAAAATTGCAAATCCTCAAAAATACTAATAAAGAACTGTAATGAAGTAAATGTACTAAGTTACTATAAACCTTTGTCATTTACTGGAAGATACACTTAGTTTGATCTTTTAAATTGGCTCTGTGGAAGACCAAACAGGTTCAACTGTATTTTAATGGWACTTTAATGGTGATGGTCAAACTGAGACTCGTGTTTGTCTGCAGGTCCAAGCTGAACTGAAAAAGCGCTGGCAGCTTTTTTTGTTCACCAATCACTTCAAGGTCCGAAGCTGTTTCAGCGGGGTTGACTTCAAGCACCTGTGGAAATGTTCACAAGGGCAAGACCCACGGCGCTCCAAGCGCTGTGTCTCCAACAACAGGGGCAACACTTTGACACCTCACCCCCAACTTCTTCAAGTGACTGTGCATGGAGGAGGTGGGGTGCTTGGACAAGGAGAAATTAAAGGTCAGGGGATAAAGGGCTATGATGCGCCAGGTCTGGATTTTCTCACCCGAAAAAGTCTTTCCAGCAGTGATGGTGAGATGACCCTTGGAGAGACCATGGAGGAGATTCTGGAAGAGAGCCAATTCTGATTCCAGCTGCTTTTCATTAAACATGGAGGAACACACAAAGAATGTATAAATCCAACTCAACTTTCCAGCTCAAAGTGTAAACTGCACCAAGCTTTAGTTGGCCGTGATCTCCAGGGGTCTCAAAGGCTATGGTTACTTTTGTGTCCATGGGTAATATCTACTTTAAATCAACCCAAAACATTTATAAAAGCATATGAGGAAAAAGATGTTTTCTTTAATAAGCAGTAGGACTAAAGCAGAAGTCTAGTATTACTGCAATTTTGACATCAGCTGCGATTTCAAGCACATCCAGTGAATATAACCACTTCACTCTTATGAAGGGAGGGATTTTGGAGATGAAGCTGAAGCGCAGCAGTGACTACAACTCATAGTTTTCTGCTGACTTCATCCTTTCAGTCTAAAGGAGGAGAGTCATGTTTGGTGAGCTGCCAGCAGACAAGAGGGATGATTGCATCCAAAAGGCAATTTGTCATTGAATGAGACACAGAGAGGCAAGGTACCCAGGCAACAGGAGGATATWTGCCACAATGGAGCTCCAAGGAGAAAAACAGGAGGACGGTTGACTAAAAATCAGAAATTATGCCATAAACTTTTTTACTACTTACTTTTTTTTTAAATAAAAAAAATCAAGTTTTATTTTCTCTCACCAGGGCCATGGACGACCCTAAAAAACAATCTAAGGTAGTACTGACACATGTGGCGGACCTCCATTGGGTCGTTTTTGTGGTTGTTGGCAGAACATGAAAAGACTGTTTCACTGATTGCAGGAACACCAAAATAAACTGACCTTGATTTTTTTCCCCTGTACATCAGAGTAATGATTAACATGGACATTCAACTCCAATTCCAGTGAAGTTGGGATGTTGTGTAAAACATAAATAAAAACAGAATATGATGATTTGCAAATCCTTATCAACCTATATTCAGTTGTATACACTACAAAGACGAGATATTTAATATTCAAACAGATTAAAGGTGAAAAAAATTGTATAGGTCCTCTGGACGGGTTCTTCTTTAATGAAACGTTTCGTCTCTCTTCCAAGAGACTTCTTCAGTCTGAGAGTTTCACAGTCTATAAATATCCTGGAATTAGACAGGTATCACAGTCTCTAAATATCCTGGAA